TCTTCCATTTCAGAGAAGGAAAGTCAACGCAACGAACGATTGTCACTTTCCCACCCCAAATTAAAATTTCATAGAGTTGGATCCTGCGGATTCAGTCAATCAGTAGTGGCAGTTTCCTCCATTTCTAGTGTTAGGGGACTGGATCACCACTATTGGACCAGATCTGCAGGATCCAGTCCAAGAGATCATGGCAGGATGAGCTTCCTCTAGTCCCTGGACTTTTGGGTCAATAATTAGTACCTGTCAGAATGACGACAGATTGTGTTAGCTGCTGTCACACCCATGTGAGCCGGGGGCTGATAAGGTATTGCTGTAGTCAACCCAAACTTGCACTGACATGACTCAGTTTTCTTTGATTCCATGCTCAGGTCTGTTCTGTTGTCTTCTCTTCAGACCTCATACAAAGAAACGAGTTGTAGCATCTGCGAAGCATTGACCGAGCTGTAATACCTCTTCATAAGGTCTTGTCCACATTCACATGTTTTGGGATAACAAAGATGTGTTCTGGAGTTATCAGGGTTTAGGATGATACTCTTGTTGGCTTTAATAGGGATAAATCTAGGTCCAGAGCTGCAATATCCATCCAGTTTTAAAGCAAATATGTTTCTAAACACGTACAAGAGACGTATTGTTCCATCAGTTGCCCCCACCCCCAAAGGCTCCTTCCTCTGCGTTCTCCACACCAAAAGAACGTATCGATTTTCCGGCTGGTTTCAATGCATGCCCTATGGCTTTATTGCTTTGCCTAGGAAAGAGCACTAGACAGAGGTTTTCCCACAAAGGAACATAACCTGTGACCCCCCCACCCCAAACAAGTATTTAAAACAAAACTTGCATATTTTATAGTGAATGTCCAAAATGTGGAGTCTGTTGACAGTTACAAGAGCTACCATGGTGATTGTTGCAATTCACCGGTGTAATTCTGAACATCTGCTGAACATGTACGAAATTGTGAATGTCCTGGCCCATACCTCTTACCACATCTTTCTGTGGTGGAAGACTGGTGTCTCTATTCATCCACTGTGCAGAAATAGCCCTTCTCACATATTACATTGAATGTATGTACATTCTGCAAGTACATGCGTACAAGTGTGTGTAAGAATGAGCCAGTGTGCATTCTCTTGACAAATGCAACCTGGATCTATATGGGGTTGCGATCACCCAGTCAGCTGTATGCACCTTGAATGTAACATGAGAGTTATTTTGCACATGTAAAAAGAAAAACCAAGAGTGTACACTGTACATGGGTTGTACATGTGTTTGCTGGAACTCGTGTACGGGGCTGAAATGACTGCAATCTGAGTTTTCCACGCTGAGGTCCAATTATGTGGAGGCTCTGCTCATAAGATATTTAACTTGTACAAAATCAAGGGATGTGTGTATGTGCGAGAGAGAGCAGTTTATAGATGGAGTCATCAGACAGCCACGTGTGGCGTGAGCGACCCATCGTCTGCTAAGTTGTGCGAACCGAGGCATTATCTCCTTGTGACTGTTGACAACCTCCATGTTTTGACACTCACCACAACACAGATTCAGAGAGAAACCAAACCCCTTCCCATTGCCAGAATTAAGGCAACTCAGGTAGCTGTATTGTTGGAAACGCCCTTGTGTCTCGACCCCTTTCCGCGGCTCAACGGTTTTTGTTCAGATGGTTAATCTGATGACAGCACTCTTAATTTTGCAAAGTGCTTTGTGACAACCTGGCGTCTTGTTAATCCTCCCTCTCCCCCCTCCCTTTGTCTGCATCTGGACTCATGACTTCTCTCATCCATCTCCTTGTGCATGGACGTCTTGCCAACACCGCAGAACCGCATAAGAAGCATTGTGTTTGTTCCGCTCCAGACAACTAACTTGATTACTGATGAATTGACAGACTTCACGTCTTTTTTGGGGGTGTTTTCATTGTAGCTGTTGTTCTTGGCATCACTTGGGCGTTTCTGGCACACTATGCAAGGGTACAGTTGGCCAGGGGTCAAAGACAGATGGATTGCTCTCAATGTAGATTTCAGGGAGGGGACCATGGCTCGGCAGTAGAGCATCTCCCTGGCATGCAGAAAATTCCAGGTTCAATACCTGGCATCTCTAGTTAAAAGGACAAGGTAGTAGGTGATGTGAAATACCTCTACCTGAGACCACTGCCAGTCATGAGTAGATAGTACTGACCAACGATCCGATTCAGTATAGTGTAGCTTCATGTGTACATATGTAGGTTCAAGACCATAGCTTGTTGTGTTACATCATGACCCTCAGTCTGATCTGAAGTATTTTAAAAGATGGTAGTAAACAGGACTAGCTGGTAAACACTTTCTAATGGTTATCAAAGCCACAAAGATGCAATGCATTGGTCACTGTATAATTCTTTACTTAAAACACGTCTACCCCTTCTCTCTCTTGCTGTCCGAAGACGTTTCCGTGGTCATGTGGCCGGCATGACTAAACACCAAGGTGCACGGAACGCTGTTACCTTCCCACCAAAGTGGTACCTATTTATCTACTTGCAATTTCTTGCTTTCGAACTGCTAGGTTGGCAGGAGCTGGAACTAGAGACGGGAGCTCACCCTGTCTTGCGGCACCCGGGTCTTGAACTGCTGAACTACTGACCTTCCAGTTCAGCGTCTTAACCACTTGAGCCAGTAAACACTTTCTAATAGTTATCAAAACCACAAAGATGCAATGCATTGGTCACTGTATAATTCTTTACTTAAAGCACGTCTACCCCTTCTCTCTGTTGCCCTGCTGGTGGACCTCCTGATGGCACCTGGGTTTTGGCCACTGTGTGACACGGAATGTTGGACTGGATGGGCTATTGGCCTGATCCAGCATTGGCTTCTCTTATGTTCTAAAGGAGCACGCGATATCTTACATTTCTTTTTTAAAAGTACAGCTTCCAGACCAGTGACATTGTTACAGTAATAAAGCCAGCTTCCTTAATATTTAACTTTCCTCAAATGCCTTCTTGAACAATTAGGTTCTGCACACCCTTTTGAAAGCCAGGAGGGAAGGTGCCGTCTAAACAAACCTCTAGAAGGTCATAACGTAGTATGGAGGGCCAAGAAGGTCACCAATGGTTTTGATAGACTCCTGCATGGAATTGTGGGAGCTCCAGCAGAGACTATCATGACATGCCAAAATTTACAGCTGGTAAAGGTACAGGAAGGCTGTCTCCTTTTGCAGCATGTTGCCCTAGAGCGAGGAGAAAGATGCAAATTGACAGCAAATAGATAAAAGTACATCCTGTGCTGTGTGAGTCCCAGGTCTCATGAAGGTTGCTGCTGTAAACGAAAGAAGTAAATCCAAACAACAAAAGGGAAAAAGACTAGTGTCACATGAGTCCCAAATATACGAATTCCACTAGTAGAAAACACCATCAAAGATTGCCAAAAACAATATATTAAACAATTATAAAGTTGGTGATGTCACAACAACAACATTAATGCATGCTGTAACTATAATAAGGCATAAGATACTTCCTCCTTTGAAGATAAGATATAATAATAATAAGGCATAAGATATTTCCTCCTTTGAAGATAAGACATAAAGTCCATGTACTCAGTGTAACTTGATAACTTGATAGGAGGAGTCCACATAGTCATAACATATTCCAAACAGCCTTTGCAAAGGCGCCAGTTCGAGATACTTAGAAGATGCGTTTCCTTCAACTTGTTCAGTTTGCCGGCTGTGTAAGTGGAACTGTGAAGAGATTTACACAAAAGCCTAGCCACAAAAACACACATGAAAAACAGAATTGCTAAAAAAAGCATGGCTGAAAAATACGCTCACCCTGATTTCAGCAATTTCAACAGACCATAAGGTTCATAGTGTAAACACAAAAAAGGCCACAGTTCTAAGCTTTGGGAGTGGATCTGTGGCTCAGCAGCACTCGCTTTAAACACAGGTGGTCATGAACACATGAAGCTGCCTTATACTGGATCAGACACCTGGTCCATCAAAGTCAGTATTGTCTACCCAGACTGGCAGCAGTCTTTCTCATCCCCTACTGCCTGAACCTTTTTAAACGGAGGTGCTGGGGATTGAACTTGGGACCTACCGCACACAAAGCAGAGGCTCTGCCACTGAGCCACAGCCCCTCCCGGGTTTAATTCCTGGCATCTCCAGTTAAAAGGACCTCAGGTAGCAGGTGGTGGGAGAGACAGGTGTAGACGCCACACCAAGCAGATAAATTATCTGCTTGAACAACTGGTCGTCAGAGTAGATACGACAAAGTGCTGTGGGTCGAAAGTTCGGTGTGGCATCTACACCTGTTCATCTGTAACCGTCACTTAAATTAATTTGGCACAGAAACAGTAGAGATTTATATTCAGGCAGATACCCTTCTTTCTGGCCTCCCTTTTGTGGGGAGAAGTGGGATGAAAACGTTATAATTAGTTAATCAAATAAGGAAATTTGGATAGCAGAAGTAACGGTTAGCGTTTGTGGATCCCTGGATTCAGGGATTTTGAAGCTCGACATCCATCCCTTGGAATCCAGAACCAAATTTTAGCGGGATGGAAGGTTCAGACCTGGTAAAATCATAGAATCATAGCATCGCAGAGCTGGAAGGGACCTCCAGGGTCATCTAGTCCAACCCCTTGTACAGTGCAGGAAATTCACAAATACCTTCCCCCACACACCTCCAGTGTGAAACCTTAGAAAACTTTGATTTGCCTGCCTCCAGTGTGAAACCTTAGAAAACTTTGAGTTGCCTGCTGGTGGTGGAAAATGCCGTCAAGTCGCAGCTGACGTATGGCAAAACATTTAGGGTTTTCAAGGCAAGAGACGTTCAGAGGTGGTTGGCCATTGCCTGCCTCTGCGTAGCAACCCTGGACTTCCTTGTCTCACTTTGATCGGTGTGAATAACTCTGATGCTTATCAACCGAGGGGCAGGGAGTTGCTTTCTCCACCGAGGAGTAAGCGTAGAGCAGCATTCGACACACACACCCTTTGACGTAGCTCACTAACTTCATGGCTTTTTCTGGGGTGGGGTTTTGCGCTTCCGGTAGAGTTGACCAGATTGTCGGTCGAGGGCCATCGATGACTGATAAGGACCGGACCAAAGGACCAACTGAAGGAGAGCTCCCTGAAGATCCAAGTATGATGGGCAGACTTGGGAAGGTGGAAAAGCAGGTATGTGCCCAGTTCCTGAGCTGTAACGTTCGACCTCCGTCAGTGTGCCATTACTGATGTAGTCCTTAGTATCCATAAATCAGCTTGTGAAATTATCTCTTCCTCTATTTATTCTATAACAATGCTGTTTTTGCTGATGCATTCAAGGTGCATGCACAGATTCTGTCTGTACCTTTTTATCTGGCCCTTTCTCCAAGGAACTCGAGAGTGATGGACATGGTCCCCCCCCCATTTGTCTTCACAACCAATGCTCCCACTAAGCTGTGGAGTCTCGTGAGCAAAAATTCTCCTTTGTGAGCTACTGGCATTAAATTTGTGAGTGAGTGATTTCGCTGCCGCGTCAATTAGTTTGCTCTGGAGCCATCCTTCCTGAGCTGAGGCAAAAATGTGTGAGCCGGAGGCTAAAAAACTTTGAGCCGGCTCAAACTAAGCTTAGAGGGAACACTGTTCACAACAATCCTGTTAGGTAATTCACCCGTTTCATTTGAAATGGGTTGTTGGAGGATTTACAGATACCATTGACAACCAACAAAGACAAATAAGTGGGTTCGAGATTAAATCAAGCCTGAACTCCTCCTACAAGCTAAAATGATTCGACTAAGGCTATTGTTCTTAGGTCACATGATGAAAAGACAAGGCTGACTGGAAAAGACAATAATGCTAGGAGATCATGCCGGGGAGCAATTGCGCGGTGGCTCGGGGGATCTGTCTGATCCCGCCACCGCGCTTCTCTTTTGATGTGGCTCAAAAAAGCCGCACTGCAGCCGCAGCTTTTCCCCCAGTGTGACCGGGGCCAAGGTCAACTTAATGTAGCCTGGAAAGAAATGTGGAAATCTATTGAAATCAATGGGCAATTCTTGAGATGTAAGAATGATGGGCAAAATCCATTGGGGAGAACTTCTGCCTGGTTTCCATTTTGTTTTAAGTAAGAGGAGCTTCCGAGGGCACAGAGACATCAAGTCTAATGTGTTACAGTTTGGGTTAGGGTTGTACAATTAAAAAAAAATATTTTAATTTTGTTTTGTTATTTCTGAAAGAGCACGGTTATTGCTTTCCTGAAATTTTGGGAGTAGTGGTACCATTTCCGAAATTTCTTTGGGGTAATTTTTTTGGGTTCAAAAATAGCTGGTAGTGGTAGACCTGGCCTCCATTGGAAGGCCAGTTGTACTAGGTACTGAAAACAGTTACCCAAGTAAAATCCTGACATTTTGGGAGATAAACTTTGGGAATCTTGCAATTTCGGGAGTGCCTTGCTTTGTTTCAAGTCTATCTGATCTGAAACGAAACTGAATTTCCGGCACTGTTTCGGGTCAGAAATTTCTGAATGGCCTCCCCTAGTTTGGGCTGTCGGTATATATTGGACTACTGTGCGTGCTATTATTTGGCAGAAAATTGATCAGAAATCCAAATTCTCCCCCCCCCCTTTCCTTACATGGTTTCCATAAATCTTTTTTCATATAGGGGGGAAAATGAACATTCGTAAGTGGCCAACAGGGGTAGCAGGATTTTGGGGGGCTGTAACACCTCACATAGATCACTCTGTCATCTAGCTTTTCCCAATACCAATTTCATTCCATTTCTACTTAGTCCTTCCCAAAAAAACCCAGAAAGCCAAATTCTTTCAACACCATTGTCTTGAAATTACTATTTTTTTTGTCATTATGGTTTAAGGTTTTCAGTTTAGCCAACACTTTGCAGAGTCAACCGAGCAAAAGGCGGGTCTCTGCCCGTAGGTACTTATCATTAAATTTTATCATCTCTGATGGGAGGGGAGTGACAATAGGAAGACAGGGAGAGGCCTGGCTTTCAAGGATGTAAGTCAAAACAGTTGCATGTGGTTACGTTTCATTTTCTATGGGGATAAGGCCTGAATTAAACCAGAGATGGTCTTATACATACGCTTGTGGGGTTTGCTGCATTTTTATTGTAGAATTCCCCTTTCCTTGTGACACCTTATGGCTTAGGTTTCATGCAGGGTGTGCATTTGGGTGGGGTTTTTTTTTTTTGTTCTTTTAATTGGGGTGTAGGAGTCTAGAGTTGTCTGAAGTGGGAATTTTGTGTGTAATGGTGCCCCGGGGACCTCTGTGGCCTTTTCCAGGTGCAGTCCATGGAGAAGAAGTTGGACTTCTTGGTCAACATCTATATGCAACGCATGGGGATCCCACCCACGGAAACAGAAGCCTACTTTGGATCCAAAGAACCTGATCCAGCACCGCCATACCACAGTCCGGACGACAGCCGGGAGCACATTGACAAAAACGGGTGCATTATCAAGATAATTCGCTCCACCAGTTCCATGGGACAGAAGAATTTCTCTGCGCCACCAGCCACCACGGTGCCAAACAATTCGTGCCACCCTTCCACTTCGTGGCAGACGTACCAGCGGCGAAGCCACAGCACTTCTCCGGTTGGTGATCCCGGTTCTTTGGTGAGGATCCCACCGCCCCCTTCACATGAGCGTTCCTTGTCAGCCTACAGTGGTGGGAACAGGGCCAGTGCTGAGTACGGAAGGAACGAAGACGTTACTGCGAAACACCCCGAGAGTGCCCTGAGAGACAGTGACACCTCCATTTCTATCCCATCCGTTGATCATGAGGAACTGGAGCGTTCCTTCAGTGGATTCAGCATTTCCCAGTCCAAAGAAAATTTGGACGTCCTCAACAATGGCTGCTACACAGCCGTGGCCAAAATCAGACCCTATATTGCAGAAGGGGAGTCAGATACGGATTCTGACCTCTGCACCCCCTGCGGGCCTCCGCCAAGGTCGGCAACAGGTGAGGGACCTTTCAGTGACATGGGGTGGTCAACTCCTAGACAGTGAAGCCACTGGGAAGCCATCTGAATCCAACGCCAAGAGGGGTGGAGCCGGTTGTGCTGTCCACGTCCTGAACACCTTCAAAAGATTGAGAACTTAACGTTCTGTGATGCAGAAGTCGTGGCTGTTTTCCCCCAGCTGACTCTGGGGGTGGAGGATCAGATGCTACACCTGTTCTCTACAAAGGGAGGGGCGCCGTAGCAAATAATTCGAAGCCTTGAAATCTCTGGATTTCTTTCGTACTATGTTTCTAAGAATCAATAGGTGAAACTGTTATCATACGCCAGGGTAGGTCACCGTGACGCTTGGTAACTTTTGATGTTAGCAAGGCACAGTCATCACTGGAGGGTGGTTGAGTTATTGGCGAGGTAATGGTTTGTTTGGTTTTTTTTTTTACTAAAAATAGGTAGAGGCACGGAGTTTTTGATCACATGCACAAAATATGTTGTGCTACCGAGGAAACATGTCCTCATGGTCACATAGGGGGAGGGGGGAAACGGATCATAGGTGCATGGTGGTTTGTTACAAAGCAATTTACAGTAGGATCTTCCAAGCGCAGAACACAATCCGGCGAGGGTCGTGCAAAGAGTGTGCGGTGTCCAAATGGCACAAAGTTTGAGAAGCAGTGGAAGAAAGACAATGGTTTTGTTGGGTTGCGTCGGGGATAGGGCTGCCCCTTGGACAGGAGTACTCGAGCGCAACAGCTAAGAAACTTTTTTGGAATGCAAGGCTGGTTTGACGTAATTATGTGTGTGTTTTTTATTCTTAAAAAAGCATCTGCAGGATGGCATCTGACAGTCCTTGATATGCATGCCCAGATGTTTAATTCTCTTTTGCACTTTTCGGGATACCGTTAAATAACACGGGGGACCATGCTCCCTCGGAGAAAAGTTCTCCGCACATGTTGTGTAACAAAGGGGATTTTGGAAACCAGGATTTACTCAACTTTAAGACCACCTCTGTACAAGTTGGCAGAACAATAGGTGCCCGCTACATTCTTCAGATGTTTCTTACCTGCATTTAGAGAGTCTTCTATTTGAAAGGCTCTTTTCCTGCATTGTGTGCTGCAATAACCGCAAGTTCGACAAGCGGGAGATGCAACAAGAGGTTTCTCAGCATCGCTCATGGAAGTGGCTTTGGAGCGATTTCCCATGGTTTAAATGCCTTGCAGTCCCTCCAAAACAGAGCATGGGGTGAGCTTCCAATCCCATAATGAAGCATGCCGGAAGTCACAGGTCAGAAGTCCCGTGGTAGGTGTACGAAGCATGAGATGGCCAGGGAAGTGAGGGGGACCTTGCTTGGGGAAACCGGGGAGTCACAGCGTCAATCTGAGCTAACAGCCGGTAGACCCTGCCGCCAACCCAAAGAGGTTATGTCTGCTCTTTCCATTGTGTATGGCTGGGTTGGCGCACCCCATACTTCCTGCCAAGAAAAGTCCTTGGTCTTCTTTCCGGCCCATCACCAACTCATGCTGATGGCCTGCCATTTCCGCCCAACGTGTCCCTTTTCTCATTCTGTATCGGGGGCTCCTTACCTCTGATCGATACTGATTTACAAATGCTGCCACCTGGAGTTTGCTGCCTTTATTTATTTAATTATTTTAGCAGCCTGGTTGTGTCCAGACGTGGAGTTGCTGGAGAGATGAAATGGGGGCCTGAACAGCTGGTGAGAACTCCTACTGGCCCCTTTTAACCCTTTGGGGCGAAAGGCCTCGGGCTTCACGCATTGACTGCCATTAAAGGCTCATGATGGACAATGCTGTTTTAGGCGGAATCTCTGACCCACTTAAGCATAGAAGAGAGCAGCCCTGCTCTGCCGCTGTTGTTAGTTTCACTATCAAGCATACGCGATGCACATTGCAGTGTTACAATACAGTGCTTACGTTTTTCATGCTGCAGCCGTTCGGCCGTTCGGCAAGGTTCTTCCAGAACCTGTGTTGGTTCGCAGGGCTCGGTAGGGTGCCAGCCATGATGTAAACCATCGCTGTCCTCAACCAAATGCCTGGTGGAACATCTCTGCCTTACAGGCCCCTGCGGAATTGCATAAGATCCTGCAGGGCCCTGACATTATTTGTCTCCTTGTGAGAGGCAGTTTCCACTCCCTCCCTGCCTTCCACAGACCCAGTAAGCGAACACAGTAGTCTTGGAGGTTCCCTTCGCATAAAGGACCGGGTACTCTGGAGGAACATTTTGGGCGGGCCTTTGCTCTGGTTCATAATGCTTTTGCGAGACCAGCTGGCAGTTAGGGATGCTGTGAACCTTGGTCATTATGGGATGGGATTAAACAAAGTGGGTTAGACAAATCCCTGGAGGAACAGGTTCACCAGTGGCCCTTAACCAATGTGCCTAAATGGGAATTCTGTGTTCAGAGACAGTAACCCTCTGAGTGTCAATACTTGGAGAAGGGGCAACAACATGGAAGAGACCCACGCCTTGCTTGTAGGCCTCCAGGGGGGGCATGTGGTTGGCCGCTGTGAGAAACAAGATGCTAGATTAAACGGACCGTTTGTCTTATCCTTCACAACGGCTGTATGTTTTTTCGTAAAGGTGCATCCACGATGCCATCAGAAGGAATTCTCTGTAGATGAGACTATTAGATCAGGAACAATCTTGTGGTAATTTTGTAAACTAACAATGTTTATTGTTGCATGAGGTTCCATAGGTCATGTTTATGGAGCTGGGCCGTGGAGATGCGTAGTTCGTGTGCACATGGGAAACATGTACATACATATGTATGAATATATGTTTGTGTGTACATGTACATACTTGAGAACCATGCTGGAAGGGAGAACCTTTGCGAAGTAGAATTTGAGAAATGAATGAATTGTGAACAGAAGCATACATGAGACCATCAGTTGTCGAATTCATAGATGCAGTTGCCTAGACCACCTCTTGCCAGGGCAGGGCTTATATTGGGTGAAATACAAGGTTTCTTTTTTTGTAGTGAGTTACCCAGTTTAATTGTAAAGGAGATCCACTCATGCTCTGGTAAACGTCTTGTGCTTACGGTATCCTCCATGGTTCAGAGATAAACACAGAGTTCTGTTGAAAAGTTTTCCGCTGCCAAGAGTTAATCGTCTCTCGTTCTTGCCAACTGAATCCAGAACTAAACCCAGTCTCACTGGTGGAAATGCCTCCTGGGGCTTCCTTCTATGCGTTTTATTTTCTGGGTCAGTACTGTTCATTTCTGCTCCATGGGGTCGCGAAGAGTCGGACTCGACTGTGCGACTGAACAACAACAAAAACTGTTCATTTCATTACCCTGTAAGAAAAAGGCGATGGGCAGTTTATACCGGTGACGTTTCCAAGACATTGACTGAAATATAACCTTGACGGAATCCCAGTTGACACCTGAACCACAGCCATATATTTTGAGAGAACATCAACACTGGTGAATCCGGCAAGGAGCTGTTGGTCTTATTCGCTTGAGTAGATTCCTCAATTCCCTGCACAACCAGTTGTGGGAACAGATTGGGCAGAGGGGTGGTTCTTTGGGTTACACCATACACTCGTGTTAGTGCATTATGGACGTCGGCACAATATTGCTTGCCTTACAACATGTCTAAAAGAGAGACAAACACAATCTTTTGATAGCTATTTAATGAAGCTTGTCTTTTTAGAGCGGCGATCAGCCTCTTCTCTGATGAAGTGGCCTGTGTGACCGGGCCCCGGAACTCATTTTACAATATATGGATGTCTGGTTTTCAAACTAGCTTGCCGAACGCACTCTCAGCTTTTGCCTGTAAAATGCATGTTGTCCGAGACAACTAGAAACCACTACCCTGTACATATGTATCGGCTCTCCCAGTAGGTTGCTAAGAGAGCATCGTTGAGCATATATTGGTGTGTGAACGCCGCCGATCAAAATCCATCATGCTGGGGTGAAGCTGCATTGCTAGATGAATAGATCTGGTAGATATAAAACTGATATACTCAACTGCCTATGATATCACCACATGCAGGGGTTCGTTTCGAGGGGGAACGAGCAGGAACGACATTCCCGGAATAACAAGCCCAGGAGTAGGGAACCCGGGCATGCTTGCCGTGGTGGATTGGCTGGGGAAGGGAAGGGCAGGGCAGGCAGCTAGACATGGCCCCTTTCTCCCCGGAGGCTCTCCGCTTTTGCAGTGAAACTCGGGGAAGTGTGTGGGGGATTTAAATGCCTTTCTTCCCCTTCCCCATCTGGCTGCGGGGCACCTGGAGAAGATCGGGCAGGAAACCTAGGCATGCTTGCATGCTTGCCCTTTGTCAGGGGTGTGTGGCATATGCAAATAAGCTACACTAATGAGTTATGCTATTGAGCTCCTGCACTTCTTTTTCTACCAAATGACCCCTGACCACATGCATCTTTCTTCTTGTACCAGCATGGGGGAACTGTTACCTCCTGTTACATTGGAGCTAGGAGAACAGACAGGGTGTTTAGTGGTTCAGGGGCTGGACAAGGACGGGGGAGATCTGGGTTCAAGTGTCCACTCTGCCCTGAAACTCTCTGGGAACTTGAATCCGCCAAGTTAAACAGTAGGCCAATGGCACCTTAAAGACTAAGAAAATTTATCTCGGTAAACGCTTTTGTGAGTCAGAGCTCACTCCTTCCGATGCATGGGGTGCACGTTCATAGAATATTTATATGTACAGTTAGTTACAAGGAACACAAAGGTGGTGGTGGTGAGACGTTACAGGAAGTGGCCGCTTGCATATGGTAACCAGTGGGAAAGAATTAAATCTGTTCAGAATGGAATGAGAACCCAGTGGGTTTAAAATTCAGAGCGAATTCCCCTTGATTGGTTACTATTTCTAATTGGCCTCTCCTAACTTTCTTTTGTTTGTTACCTTACAAAGGGATTTCAAAGGGAGATTAGAGAGACTCCTGAATTGCAGCTGATAATGAAGCGCAAGACAGTGCATCCACCTGGACTGAATTGAGACCTAGGTTTCCTGTCTCATTACCAATGGTGATTTCTCCATGCATACTACCTCTCTGCATTTCACACCTAATCCAATCACACC